GAGCGGGGCGCAGGTGGGGGGGGAGCGCAGCTGGCGGGGGGGGCGCACACTCGCCTGGCTGTCCAGGTTGGGGCCGGGGGGTTATAGCCGTGCAGTCCCATTTGCCTGGGTGGTGAGGTGAGGCCAAAATTTGCTCTGTGTGAGGGGCCTGGGTGAGCTCAGGTAGGAGGGGTGCAGCTGCCCCCACTCCAACAATGCCCGGGGCTGGTAGCAGGGCTTGCCCCCCCTGCACCATGGGCAACAAGTGCCCCCTCCCACCCTGCTGGGCACCAGCAGCAGTATCCAGGAAGGGGGCACTGGGTGGGGGGGGAGGCCTTTGGTGGTAGGGCCAGGGCTCAGATTGGCATGGGGCTGAGCCCGCAGCGCCTGGCATGGGGTGATGGGGCACAGACCTCCTGCCGCCCACCAGGCTGGGGGCAGCAGTGGGAGCAGCCAGGCTGTGAGCTGGAGGCACTCACAGCCCCCCCCAGCATTGTTGGGGGGTGGAGGGCTGTGGTCAGGCTGCCCCCCTTCCCCGGGCACAGATCCAGACCCCAGCACTGGCTCCCCACATGGGCCCCTCCTACAGGTTGCACCATGGCCCTGGCAGGGGGGCCCCTGGTGAGATCCCAGCAGGGCACAGGCATCCCTGCTTCCCTCATCCACAGACCCATTCCCTGGGGCCCGGGTGACAGATGCGAGGGGCTGACCCACATCAGGAGAGGCTGTGGGACAGGGTCCCTGGCCTCTCCGTAGATGCCCCTGGCAGACAGGGGGCATGGAGGGCAGGGGAAGAGGGAGCAGCGCGGCAGAGAGGGGCAGGCCAGGCCCGATCGTGGAGAAAAGGCAGTTTATTGAGTGCAGTCAGCACACGAGGGAACAGCACACGTGAAACACGACTGGTGAGCGTGGGCTGGCAGGCGCTGCAGCCCGGGCTGGGGGGGGTCCAGTCCCAGAGCCCAGGCCACAGCTGCAGCACCCAGGCCCGAGTTAGCAGCTTTAATTCCTGAGCACGAGGGGCTGGGCGGGCCAGGTCCCTCCCGGACATGGCAGCGTCCAGACGTGAACACACACACACACACACACACACGCACGCACGCACGCACGCACGCACATGCCCCCCCCGGCCCCGGGAGGGGATGCGAGACACAGACACAGAGCGGCAGAGCAAGCTGGAGATGGAAGTGAGCGTGGTGCCATGGCGGCCGCAGGCTGAGCGTGCGCAATGCTTTGGCAGGAGCCGCAGGGGAAGCAGGAGCTGCCGGGGGCTGCGCTGGGGCCGGCCTGGCCACAGAGCCCCACAGGCATGCCGGAGCCCGATCTTGCCCTGCTGTCCTGTGGAGGGGCTGGGCTAGGGGGAGCGGCTCCAACGTCTTTTCAGGCAGGGGAAAACCGGTGGCAGCACTGCCCAGGGACCAGGACCCACTATGGCCCAACTGCCTCTGAGCCAAAAACCCAATGGGAGAGGGGTGGGTTTCTCTCAGCCCTGCCGCAGCCTCCCCCTCCAGGCAGCTCTCAAGGGGGAGGATGCCTCGAATCCCTGGGGGCCACAGAGGAAGCCCTCCCAGCCCAGAGGGGAGCACTGGCTACTGAGGGCCAGGATCAGCGGGCAGAGGGCACAACTTGGGCCCTGGAGTCAAATAAAATCAAAGGAAAAACACAAACAACCAACAACAGAAACGTACAAAAAAAATTAATCATCATCATCGAACCACAATCACAAGGGGCTGGAAGAACAGCCCCAGGGGTGGCATGGGTGCACAATGCTGCCCCATGGCAGGGGCAAGCACCCAGCCTCTCCCTCCAGGGGCCGGGAAGGGGCCAGAGAGGGCAGCTCCTGGCTCCCCCCTGCCTACAACCCATGGCCCCAGAGGAAAAGTCAAATTCTTCCAGGGCTCAGATTCAAATTGCCTCTGGCTTAAGCCCCTGCCAGTCTAGGGCGGGTTTGTCAGCACCCTCCATCCCTGTGCAACTGGGCCCTGGAAGCCAGGGCTGTGTGGAGCAGCAGTCTCCACTGTCTGGGTCCCCAGGCAAGTCCTGGCTATCAGAGGGATGCATCGAGGTGCCCCAAGCCCTGGGGTTCACCTGCGACTGCTACCTTTCCACCCCTCTGGGCGGGAGAAGCCAGCAAGGGGACAAAACAGGTCCAAAGGCAGTGAGGAAGGGGGTGCCGGGCAGCCCAGGGGCCATGTCCTGTGCGAGTCTGTGGCACCGTGGAGGGGCTTGTGCTGTTCAAGAGGAGCAAAGAAACCTCCAGGAGCCAGAGTTGCCCCCGAGCCGGCAGGGCCCTGCGCTGCAGCCGCCCAGCCCGGCTGGGACCTGTCCGGGAGCATCCAAAGGTGAAGCGAGGCTGGCAGGGCGGTGGGGGGGGTTAATGCCCTGATTAGGGTTTGAGGGGGCCGAGGGCCTAGATCTCCTCGACGCCGTGGGCAAAGATCATGACCAAGCCGGGCTCAAGCACCATGTCCTCGCCCATGTGCTGGTTCTCACAGGCCATCACCACCACGGCCTGCTTGCCAGGGATGCGTTTGGCCACATAGTTTTCGTAGTAGCGCCGGTTCATCTGCCGCGTCTCCAGTGTGGCCAGGCCCTGCGGCCAGTTGCGCTCATGGGCATTCTCGATCAGCTCGTTGACGATGGAGGCTGGGCAGCCGCTCTCCACCAGTGACCGCTTGATGACGGCCTGCAGCACTGCGTCCGGCGTGGAAATCATACCACCCCACCGTGTCACCCGGGCTGGCTGTAGCGAGTTCACCCACCTGTAGAGCGACAAGAGTAGGGTTAGGGGTGGGTGCTGAGCCAGCTGGCACCCCCTCTGCACCATCAACCATGCAACCCTCACCCTCACCCCTAGGTTTATGTGGTTTCAAGGCCCAGCAGCCACAGGCCCCCTCCACGCCCCATGCCGGGACCAGGCTGCTCTGTGCCGAGCTCCCTGCCACCCCCGGCCTGGCACTCACTCCAGGATCTCATTGTACTCGATGGTCTCCTCCAGGTTCTGCAGGTTGGGGTTGACACTGCGGATGGCCCGCATGTATGCCTTCAGCAGCTGGATGTCCCGCTTCTGGAGAGGGGCAAAGATGCTTGAAAAGTGCCGGAGAGCTAGGCAGGGGGGACCTGACCTTGCCCTCAGCCACCACCCACGCCCCTGGGCACCTGCAGCAGCTCCGAGCTGTTGCCCACATTGCCCCCTCACCAGTGCCAGGAGACCAGCCTGGGGGCCCTGCAAGGAGATCCCCCTGCATGGAAACGCAGTGCTCACCTGCTCAGCCAGCTGGTGCTTGTGCTCAGCTGAGGCCTTCTCCAGCTCGGCGATGCGGCCCTGCTGCTGCTGCACCACCGAGCGCAAGTGTCGGATGCAGTTGTGGTTGGGCAGCTCATCCTTGGGCATCTCCAGCCTGTGGGAGGGTGGCCGTGGCTGGGGTGAGTGCAGGCACGACCCCCAAGGAGCACCTTTGTCCCCCTCACCCCAGCCCCGCTGCACTCACCCGCAGCCCTGCTCACAGGTGACGGGGCGCTTGGGGTTGTGCTGGCAGTCACCCAGGTGGGCCGCCAGGGTGTCGAGGCGCACGACGGCTGTGCAGCCGAACTCAGCGTTGTCACAGGCAATCTGCAGCTTGGACAGCATGTTGCGCATGATGCGCGGCACGGGGCGCAGATGGGCAACTGTTACCACACTCCGATCCACGGGGCACGTCTGCTGCTGTGAGAACCACTGCGTGATGCAGGCGTTGCAGAAGGCGTGTTCGCAGTGCGGGGCCTGCCGATGGGGAGGCGGGGGTATGGGAGGCTGTGTTACATCGGGCCGGAAGCCCCCACAACCCCTCAATGCCAGCATGTACCCCCTCCCCTCCAGCCCTAGGGCTGTGCTACTGCTCCTCGGGCCCAGAACAACCCCCTGCTCTAGAACAGTGCGGTGAAAAATCTTTCGGAGGCCCCCTGCTCTGATACCCCAGCCTCTTTAAGGAGGACACCCCATCCTTCCGGGAGCTGCCCAAAAAGGAGCTGTTGGAGGTGGGGGTGCTACAGATCCCCAGGGACTGAGAGCCAGGTCTCCAAGCCAGAGGCTTTGCCCCTGGAGAAGCCATGCCAGGGCTGGCTGCAAGGGGGTACTCTCAGCAGAGAGAGGCCAAAGGCGGCTGCGGCTTGGGGAGTCCCCAGGAAAGATCTTTCCCCCTTCCCTAAAAGGGGCATTGGTTCCACAACTGCTCCCCCCGGCTGCCTGCTGCCAGCTGAGCCTGCAGCTGCTGAGGAAAGTCTGGCAGCTCTGCCACCAGCCCCAGCCCATGACTGTACAGAGGCCAGCTCCAAGCACTGCCCAGACAAAGCTGCTGAACTAAAGGAGACTCCAAAGGGTGTGGGGCAGAGACGCTCCCACAGGCAGCGGCTCGGGTCCCGCCCCGGGACCAACCTGCACCGGCTCCTCCAGGACCCCGCTGCAGATGGGGCATATGAGGTCTTCATCAACGTCCCCCTGGAAGCGTGCAACATCATACCCCATCGCTCGTCACCGGTGCCACAACCCTAGAGAGGAAAGAGAGGGGAACGTGCAGTCACCTTGCTCTGCCCCTGCCAGGCACAGCCCCGATACACACCCCATCCCAGGACCCCTCTGACCTATCCTCTCCCATCCTCCAGAGCTCTCCCAGGCCAGGGCAATGCCAACCTGCAGTGACACTGTGCCTGCAAGAATGAGCGCTGTGCAACAACTAATGCCCTTTAGGAGATACAGTTGCTCCTCACCTGCACTAGTGACAGCTATGGGATGCCCCTCATGAGAGCCCATGACCCTAGGCAACACCAATGGCAGCTGATGGCCCCCTCGAGCTGGGCACTGCATGGGGAGAGGCTGCATCTAGCCTGGCACCAGTGGGGCAGCAGTGAGCAGGGTCTGGCTCACAGTCACGGACATGGAGCCATGCACAGCACCAAGGGGTTTGGCACTGTTGGGACAGCGGCCATGGCTAGGGGGCAGGTCCTGCCAGGGTCACTCAGAGGTGGGCAATTACAACCCCAAGGGCAAGTCAGCCAGGCCCTCCCACCCAGCAAGCAAGCTGTGCTCCTATTGATTTAGGTTGCTTCCTCCATCTCTTTGCTTAAATGGCTCTGGGCATCAGGTTAGTAGCAGGAACTGATCTGCACTGGGCACCAAGGCTGCAATCGCCAGCATCCTACATGTCCGGCTCCTGTGGCACAGACAGAGGCCAACATGCTCCGCGGGGCAATAAGGTGCTGGAAGAGGGTGCCCGTGCTCTTGGCCAATGGCAGTGCTGGTGATATTCTGCTGTGCTTTGTACGGCTCCCACCCCCAGTCAGCTTCAAGCCCCGCCCATGGTTTTCCAGACATGGCAAACAGCAGGATTCGACCCACCCCACCCAAAAGAAGGGGCAGCAGCCCTTGTGGGGCCTGGGCTTCAGTGCCAGTTAGTTGGCCTTTGGCTCTCTCTGCCTTGTAGCACCAGGGCCCATGTGTAGGATGACTGCGCCTCCCTCGGCTGTCACACAGAAGGGACAAATGCAGAGGAAGGGGAAGCAGCTCAGCCCAGGCACCACCCGCAGGCAGCTGCTCCCCTGCTGAAGTACATAAATCTGCCTTCAAAGCCCCTCTGGGCAGCAAAACACTTCCCAGTTTCCAGGGCAAGGAAGCCCATGCAAGCTGTGGATGCCTTGGAAGCCGGCCGCACGACACACACGTGCTGCAGCAAAGCCCTGCCCTTTCCCGCCTGGAACCCAGCTCAGCAGCCAGCCCCACAACCGCAGGCCTGGCTGGATCCTACTGCTTTCTGCCATTAAACATATACGAGTTAACGAAGCTTTTAACAGCGTTTGCAGCATTGGGCTCCTTGCAGGGGCTCACATGCCTCCAAGAGATGGTTTTAATTCTCAAATTCAAGTGCAGAAGAAAAACACGCCCATGATGGAGGGGGAGCACTGGCCTGGGAGGGGGTCTCAGGCACCCAACCGGGGCCTTGGGGAAGTGCCGAGGGACCCCTGGGCGATACAGCCCTTTCCAAATCTCTTCACCACAAGGAGGGTTTTTGCACCAGTGCCTTGTGGATGTTGCGGGAAGGTTCTTTTGGGGCAGGACCCCACCTCTGCTCACCGCCCGCCCCCCCTCCGTGCACAAAGACTGCAGGACAGCCATGGGGGTTGCTTCCGGGCACAGATGGCCTGGCTGGGCTCAGGGCAAACCCAGCAAGAACAATGACTCCTGCTTCACCCCGTGACATGAGCACCGGGCAAGAGCACCTCCTGCCCATCAAGCTGGGAGGTCACAACCATCGTGCTCAGGAAGGAGCTGATCATGGACACCAGTTGGCAGCGCAGGGCTCCATCAGCTGTGCCAAGGCCTGGCAGCACTAGGCCCTGCCCACAGGGACCCTGAGAGAGGCTCAGGGCTCATTAGCAGAGCCACGGACCTGGCTCCCAGCCGAATGCGACCCCTCAGACTCTACCCCCACCCCAAAGGTTCCACACACCCAGGGACTCCTCCCCGTGTCCTGCCCCCCTCGGTGACCCAGGAACGGCACGCTTTTACCTTCTGCAGCAGAATTCCTCCCTGAACGGCACGGCCTCAGGCTCAGTCTGCTCTCTTCAGCAAGGCGCCCCCCGTGGCCCATCTTTCCCCTCCCTCCTCCTCTTCCAGACTACATGGCCATGCTTCTGGGACTGAGATCTGCACCCACGGGCCGGTCAGGTCAGACAGGACGATCTGGTTGTGGGGACCAGGAGGGGGAAATAAAAAAATAAATTAAAAAAGGAAATGAACGTGTGAAGTCAGCAGTTGCATGATGAGCTGCGTGGGGCTCTCCCAACCTCGGCGGGACCTCAGGAACAGCCCAGGCGCCCTTGGCCACACGTGCAACCCTGGTTCCCCCCACATGTCCGAGAGGCATTTGCCACACTGTGTCGGCGGCGCTGGAAGGACGCAACCCCACACTGAAGCCCTTGGGGCAGAATGAAGACATGCGAACCCCAGACCTGTGCTGCTTTCACTGGGGAGACCATTCCCATCTCATTCCCCCTGGTTCCAGAGGACCGGGTCCCTCGACATGCCCAGTGCAGAGGGATTTCCTCCCCCACCGCTGCACTTCCCAGCGACGCACTGGCCCACCTCAGCCCTGCCGGCACAAACAAGCCCCGGTAAGGGAAGGAGAGAAGCATCTCGTGCTGGCAGGGGTGGATGCAGCCCAGTTGCAGCGAGGAGGAAGCTTCCATCTGGGGATGATTTGACATCAGCGTTTGGAGGCAGAATAAAAACACTTGCCCGGTAGGTAAATGCAACACGGGCAGGTTACGCAACTTTCTAAATATAGCTCCTGCCATCGCCTCAGCGGCTTACGAAACACCCGGCTCTCCTACAAGTCCCTGGCTCGCTTTAGCGTTACAAACACCGACGGCAGGGAGCTCCGGCTCCGAAACGCATGGGCAGGAAGTGCCCTCGCTCTGAGGCAGAGCGACAGGGCACAGAGGGAGACGGACAGTCCAAGAGACGCCTGCCCCGGGAACCCGCCCACCTCCAGCCCCGCAGTTACAGCAGGCGAGATGCCGTCCTTCGGTGCAAAGGCTTCGCTGCGTTTGCAGACCTTGACTGGGCCTTTTGCATCTGCTGCTGCCAAGCGCAGCCCTGGAGAGACCCAGGGAGCTCCTTGGAGCAAGAGATGCTGTGAAGCCGGTGGTCCCGGCTCGAGGCGCGCAGGGCGGGAGCATGTCTGCGTACGGCAGGGAGCCCTGAACTCGCCCACGCACACAGCTGGGCTCAGCTGCAAGCCAGGAGAACGCCCCCTCTCCCCCCAGAACAACACCTCTGCTTCCCCGTGCTCCTGCCCGGGGGCGCTGCATGACCAGCACCACCCCCCTGTGCGAAGGTCGACATATCCACACAAGGCACCGCAACGGGGCCCAAAACCTGCCACAGCGCAGCAGCATTGAGGCAGCAGGCTCTTCCCAGGGAAAGCAAGCGAAGCCAAAGGCACCGGCGGGGCCTGGCCCCGCCCCGCGGCTCCACCCTGCTGCTAACGCACCTGCTACGAGGGACTGGAACGTGGGCGTGGAGCCCCCAGCCCAAGTGGGGGGTGGGGGAAGGGCCTCGGGGCAGGGCTTT